TCTACAGCCACATGAAACAGCATCATCAGCTAAGAGACAGATCTTTATAGCATTCAAACCATAACAAGGGCTTGACCTCAAAGACTTCTCCCTCTTCAGATGCTGGCTGAAAGTCCTGGGCCACCTGCACTTCTGACCAATCAGCTATAGATCACAAGTTTCCAGAAACACCTAAGGTTTAGTAATATTCTAGAGTGTTTTAAAGAACTTGGAAAAAGAATTCATTTACACATATTACCAATTTGTTATAAAGGACATAGTCGGATGGCAGACATTCATAGGTGGCTACATGAATAACATGGGGTCTGAACTCCTCAGGCCATTTACATAAGGATTTGTAAAATTTAAGAAAGCTCATAGAACCACTGCATAGTCTAGAAATAACACAAAATAGTTTAAATGTTAGCACAAATGCATAAAATACATGGATCCCTGTTTTACTTACTATTGCCTACAAGTGCTAAGTCTGTTTTATCACTATTGTAAAACACACATAAACCTATTATAAAAAGTTAACATTTGTCAAACCCTGTACATGCAAACACCAAGCACGGCTCTATTCTCAACAGAAGTGTAAATAACAATGAGGATGTACTGTTAAATCATAATAACTACATACAATTAACTACAGCTTTACTGCACGGCAGCAGTCACCTTCTGCTGCTATTGCAGTGAGCTTAAGTTTCCAGAACAGAGTGTGATGTGTTTATCTCCACCTGAGCTCTTCATCTCTGGTACACTGCCTGTGGTAGTAAAAGGTCATCTAAGATCCCATGGCTTTTTTTTTTTTTTCCACCTTTCACCACATATAAAACATATAATAAGCAAAATATATGTTAAATTTAATGTTTCTACTTCTCATAGGCTTTCCAATAACTGCAGGCTGTTTTGGAGGAATCAAAAATAATGGGCAGACGTTCAACTAGTCAGCATTTTTAACCCCTAAAATGTACAAGATTCTATTGAATTATACACCAGGTTGCTGAAAAAAAAAAAAAAAAAAAAAAAAAAAGAACTTTAAGCCCAGCAAGATGGCTCAGAGGGTAAAGGTGCTTGCTGCCAAAACCTGATGACCTGAGTCCAATCCCCAGACTCAGCACAGGAAAGCAGAACTTCCTTAAAACTGCCCTTTGATCTCTACATCAGTGGGTAGCACATACAGTTATATATATATATACACACACACACACACACACTTAATTTTTTTAAATGGATTCGAAATATATTTAAATCTTATGCATATTAACACAATACTAAATATGAAATGTTATATCAATTAGCCTAAAATGATCATTTTATGATGTATTTATGTATAGAAAACAAAATATATCTCATAAACAATTATTAGTCAATTAAAATAAAAGGGCCAGGCAGTGGTGGTGCATACCTTTAATCCCAGCACTTGGGAGGCTGAGGAAGGAGGATCTCTGTGAGTTCAAGGCCAGCCTGGTCTATAGAGCAAGTTCCAGGGCAGGCCCCAAAGCTGCAGAGAAACCCTGTCTCAAAATACCAAAATAAAATAAAGGGACAGGGATAGCTCAGCAGGTAAAGGTGCCTGCCACCATGACTGATGATCTGAGTTCAATACTCTGGACATATGGTAGAAAGAGAGGACAGACTCCAACATATTGCCATCTGGACCACCACATATGTGACCCACATGTATGTATGTGCCCACACACAGAGTGACATACAATGTAAAACTAAAGACATTTTATACAACCATGGACTCTATCACTAACATGTTGTTCACTTCTCCATACCACAGGACTTACATACAAGTAGAACACAGGTACCAAAGCCAGTGTCTACCCAAAGCTCATCCTAATTGTTCTTATGCTGCCTCTTCACCTTTACTCTAAATAAAATAAAGTCAAGTAAAGGGGAAAGCACAAAATAAACTTTACAATTACCCCTGCTTTCTGAAAGTATCTACCCAGACAAGCCACTCTGCTAAGAAAATGGCAGGCACTGAAGACTTCCATTTAAATAGCTACCACAGATGAGTGCTTGGGTGACTTCAAAAAGACATTCTATTCTGGACCTGTCAGTGATTGGCTCCCAGGGAAATAATCAACCAGCTAGAGATCCCAAGACCTCCAACTTAGGGACTCTGTAATTCTGGAGCTCTGTCACAGGTGGGATACTCTGCTCACCCAATGAGACTCTACCTAGAAGCTAGCAACCTCATGGTGATGAGCTTAGCATTTGAGTCACACATGAGGGTTACAGACCTACATGAAAAAGCACCTTCTTTTCTACAGTAAAAACTTTTACATTTCATTAAGCCTGCATGGTGGGACTCTTTAATCAAAAAGGGGATCTGGTAACTACAGTATCTCTAGATTTAGTCATAGAATGATTTAATTAATCATGGTTGTTTTGGTTTTTTGGGGGGTGCAGGGAGCTATGGAAAATATGAATGAGCACACGAAGAGCCTGGAATCCCTGGAAATAAACCCTCCTAGAAATCAACCCTCCTTCACATTTTGGTAACTTAACCTAACCAAGTTCTTGTGGGATAATGTTCTTGTACACTGTAAAGATTTGTCACTCATACTGGTTTAATAAAATGCTGATTGGCTAGTAGCCAGATAGAAGTATAGGCAGGGCTACCAAATTAGGGGAATGCTGGGAAGGAGGCAGAGAGCAGTTGCCAGACTGATGTAGAGGAAACAAGATGAGAATGCCATACTGAGAAAAGGTACCAAGCCACATGGTTAAACATAGATAAGAATAATGGGTTAATTTAAGTTAATTAAGAGGTTTGTTAGTAATAAACCTGAGCAAAGGCCAAACAGTTTAAAATTAGTATAAGCCTCTGTGTGTTTATTTGGAACTGGATGGCTGCAGAACCAGGCAGGACAGAAACTTCCATCTATAAACTCTACTCAGGGTATGTTGAAGATCAACTTGTTGAAAGAATAACTGATTCTGGCAGGGTATTGGTGGCTCTCGCCTTTAATCCCAGCACTCAGGAAGCAGTTGGATCTCTCTGAGTTCGAAGCCAGCCTGGTTTACAGAGCTAGTTCCAGGACAAGCTCCAAGTTACAGAGAAACCCTGTCTCAAAAAACAAAAACAAATAATAATAATCATAGTAATAATAACAACATTCTGTTATCAGACTGCCTCCTGTGGCAATATATTATAATTTATTAAAGCCATTGACAGCCTCTTCCTCACCTACTGCCCACTTATGCAGCTCATCTTCCATATACCAGATGTGCTAGACTGTCTCCAGAAAGTCAAAGAAAAACTGCAGAAATCTTCAGCAGATTCAACAACTACATGTAATTTCGGTGTGCAGTGCATTTCCCAGACGTTCTTTTATATTAGAAGCTAACTTCTGGGTATAATTTGAAGGCATATTCTTTGTGGAGTACAAGCTGAGTCAAATCTCATCTGCCACTACTTGTTCTTACCCCGTATTAAGGTCAGTATGAAAGCTAAAATAAGGTTTTGTATGAAAACTACTTGTGCCCATTACTGCAAGTGAAGGAATCCCCTTCACAATGTTCTTTAAAAACACTTTGTGGCCAGATAAGTAGTGACCATGTTTAATCCCAGCATTCAGGAGGCAGAGGCAGCTGGTGAGGCCAGCCTATCCACATAGTGAGTTCCATGCCAGCTCAGGCTACAAGAGACCCTGTTTCAAAAAAAACAAAATAAAAAAAAAAAAAACACCGAGAAGCACTTTGTATTCCCAGAAGGTTTTAAACCATTCTCTGAATCCAATTAGAAACACTACCAAACATTTTTCTGGGCAATCTTTCTTATAGAGGTATTGCCCAAAACCCTTCACAAGGCCGGTGAGATGGCTCACCAGGTAAAGGTGCTTGCCATCAAGCCTGAAACTAGAGTTGGATGCCCTGGACCCCACCTGAAAGATCCAACTCCTCCAAACTGTCCTCTGACCTCCACTAGCAGGTCATGAAAATGCACACAGACACACAAGAAATAAAATGTCATCTTACTGACTTGTTTAGGAAAAAGCATATTAAATTTCCTGAAACTCCCAATGACTGTAAGGTTTTAACAAAAATTCTCCAGATAGTTAAAGAAAAAGGTACTATTAATATGTAACTAAAAAACTATTCATTCTTTTTTCACTACACTCTGATGGAAGCAGCCACATAACAAATGTTGCCCCTTTCTACTTCCTACAACTTTGAATACTCCTTTGAATTACTCTTTCTGAATTGACTCAATTGAAACCCAACACCTTCTTTCAGGGTCCTCCCCAAGAAAACTGATAGGTACACACAAGAGAGGGCCAGTCGTGACGGACACATCTTTAATCCTAGCACTTGGAAGGCAGAAGCAAAGCCCAGCCTGGGCTACACAGAGTTCCAGGCCAGCCAGGGCTAGTGAAAGGAAAATGAAAAAAAAAAAAAGCAAACAATAAGAGAAAAATAAACCAGTACACACCCAGACCCTAAGGCTAACTATCTATCATTTGCATATATATGCAGATGGATGTGAGAGCACAGGTACACATACATATATGTATACATAGACCTATGCACACACCCCAAAGCAATCTTGCTTAACTTCTCCCTTCTTGCTACTCATTAAGTCTTACGAAATGCAAAAACCGCTCCCAGCTTCACAACTCCTCAAGGATCCAAATCCGCCTTCGCGGTGGCATTCAGTCCCTATAGATCCGAAACTGTTTTGTGGAACAGAAACACTGAACGGCACCCATGTGCTATTTGCAAGCACTAACCGCGTCGCTAACACAAGTGACAGACCAGCCCTAGCCTCACCCTTGAAGGAGTGTGAGCAGCAGCGCCGCAAGGCCAGACCCCAGGGTTTATCATTTCCACAAATGGGTCCAGGCCCAAGGTTAGCGGCTGCACCTCCACGGCGGCGACCGGCGCGGGCACGACGCAGGGGTGGCGGGCCGCACGCCCCGCCCCGCCCCGCCCCGCCCCACCCCGCCCCGCAGGAGCGCTGCAGTCCCTTGCTCCGCACCACCGGACCCCTGCCCTCCCCGTACCTGCTTTGCACACCGGGGCGCTGGGGCTCCTCTTCTCCGCCGAAGGCCGACCCTGCTCTGGGGACCTCCTCCGGTGGCGGACGCGGGCGGGGGGTGGGGCCGCACTCACCTCGCCGGGCCACAGGTGGGTGGGCGACGAGCCGGGCGACGACACGGTGCCCAGCAGGGGCGGCGGCGGCTGCGGTCGGGGAGGGCTGCTTCGGGCCACAGGCGCCGTGCCGCGCGTGGGGCTGGTACCGCGCGTGGACGTCGCGGACGCGCCCGTCTGCGTGGCCACCGTGGGGCTGGTGCGCGCCGCCGCGCTCCCGCCGCCGCCGCGCGTGGGGCTGGTGCTGCGCGAGGCGGTGCGCGGTCCGCCGCCGCCGCCGCCACCCGAGGGGCCTGAAGCGCCGCCGCCGCCACCGTTGTTGCCGCCGCCGCCGCCGCCCCGCGTGGGGCTGCCATGTTGCTGCTGCTTCAGCTGGAACGGCACGGTCGCCCTCATGGGCTGCAGGCGGCTCCCGGGGCCCCCGGCCGGGGCGACCGCGCCACCCGCGAGGGCGCCGGCGGGCGTGGGAGACCCATTGCGCCTCACCCGCTGAGACATGGTCCCCCCGCCACAGAGACGGCGGCCCGCGGGCGCCGGGGGAGGCTGGGCGGCGGGGACCCCGCTGCTCGGGGCCTGAGGGAAGGCCTGCGCCAGCGGGTGACGAAGCCTGACTTCGGGGACGGGGGGCGCGCGGCCAGCGGCGGGCAGCGACGAGGTGGTGCAGCCGCCGCCGCGGCTCCTCATCAACAATAGTGTCTCCTCCGCTGCCCCCGCCCCCCGCCGCCGCTCATTGGTGCAGCGTCAGCGCGCTCGAGCCGCTCGGCCTCGCTCATTGGCTGCGCGCGGCTCGGCTCCCGAGGCTGCGTCTGCTCTTTAAAGAGAAAGAGGCCCGCCCCCGAGGGGGTCGGGCGGCGGAGGAAGCCGGCCGTGGCGGGAGGGGACGCTTGTGCGGTGGTGGGGGTGCGTGCGTGCGTGAGTGCGTGTGTGTGTATACACGTGAGTGTACGCGTAGGCGCGCGCGCCCGGCCACGCGCCTCCCTTTTTCCCGCTGGAGGGAGCCCCTGGGACTCAAGACTGGAATACGGCCAGAGGGACACACTGTATGGGACCACCGCGTCCTCGGGGATGGTCTGATCAGAGCCATTCCCCCTCTAACTCATTTCCTTACCTCAGTGATAGCTGTGAGTTAACACGTACGCACGTCTGTGGGGCTCCAATTTTTTTTTTTTTTTTTTTTTGTTTTTTGTTCTGTCCTAATTCCATCTACCTAATAGGTAGGGCTTGAAAATAAACAGAAATTTAATTTTGCATCCTTCTTTCTGGATTTGTTTTTCTTTTGGCTCTACAAAGATCCAAATCTCAGAAAGATAACATTTACAGATTAGATACACTTTAGATTTCAGTTGTTAAATGGTGCTGCTGCTACACTCCTATACAGATCTCAAGTAATCCAGAATTTAATCAATTACTTCACAATTCCTTATACCTTAGAAAGATGGCTATTAGCTTACAAGTTTATAAAGTGCTGAGTTCTCTTTTTTGTTCCAAACTATTTGAAACAGAACTGGGTACACCACCCATATTTCATTTATTTATTACATTTGTGCATTGGTGTGTGTATACGCACGTGTATACAAGTAGAGGTCAGAAGACAACCTGGTCCCTTCCACCATGCTGGTCCAGGGGATCAAACTTATGTGATTAAGCTAAGCCATTGGCCTACCCATCATCCATGGTTTAGTTTGGTAGGAAAAAAAAAAAATAAGTCTTCGTAATTTTCATAAAAGCTCTGTAAGGTAAGAAGTTACTCTTCAATGAAAAACTCGACATAAAGCCGGGCAGTGGTGGCACATGCCATTGATCCCAGCACTCGGGAGGCAGGTGGATCTCTGTGAGTTCAAGACCAGCCTGGTTTACAAGAGCTAGTTCCAGGGCAGCCTCCAAAACCACAGAGAAACCCTGCCTCAAAAAAAAAAAACAAAACAAAACAAAAAAAGAAAGAAAGAAAACAAAAAAGACTCGACATAAACCCTGTGTATGCATGCCCTTGATCCCTTTGCTGCTTTCATAGCTGTATATTCTAAAAAGATCTCTTAAGTGTGGGAGTGATGGCACTGGTAATGAGTGGTAGAGCTCAAGACCCACTGGGTTTCTGTGCAAAGACTTTGGATTCCTAGGAGCCTAGAGAGTTTCAGATCTAACACATAGTCTGTGATCTTGGGTATGTCCCTAGTCAGGTTTATTATTTGTAAAGTACAGCTACCTAATACGATCTCCTACATACAGTTCTGGCTATTAATCAAACATTTGATGGAAATGTGCTGGGCAGGGAGTCCTCAATGTTCCTTTTCTAGTCTGTCTTTATTCTTTCATTTATCAATCATTATGTGTATGACATGTGCATCCCAAGGAACAAAACTCCAGAAAAATGAATACGTACTCTTCAACTACTTGTGAAGAGTACTGCTTGCTATTAATTCTTACAGTTTTACTCAAGTGTAAATAGCTTCCTTTCAGAATATATACTGGTGTCCTAGTATTCTGATAATGTTTTGTGTGTCACCGAACTAAAGACCTCTCCTTTGTATTAAGCTAAAGAAGTGTTTTTAACAGATAAGCTGAATTAGATCAAAACTTAAGATAATTTTGCAAAGAAAAAAATAAATCTTCTAGAGCTAGTTCCTTGTGTTTTTTTTTTTTAACTTAGTTCAATATAGCTCAGGCTAGCCTGAAAGTCATGATGTAGCTGAGGATAGCCTTGGGCCCCTGATCCTCCTCCCTCCACCTCTATAAATGTTAAAAATACAGGCCTGTGGCACCTTGCCCAGTTTGTGCAATGTTGGGCTCAAAAATATAAGGGCCACCCCAGCCCTCTGTTCATTTTCTTCTACCTGTGTTTCCTACAGGATCACAATTCTCACAGCTCCAAATAAAAATAAATAAATAAAATAACTCTCTGTTTATCTCATTTAACAGGCCCGCATAACTGCAACTTAGAGGGAAACTTTCAGCAAACACAGCCAGTATTCATCATCTCAGCTGTCTCTATACTAAAGGATATTTGTGGTTATTTGTAAATAAAAACTTTAAAATCCAGAAATCATCAGAGAATCTTAGCAATCGAAATATAAATGGTTGGAATTGGGTAGCTGGGCACCGTGGGATGGTTCTGTTTTTAAGGTTGAATGGAAATGAATAAAGGCATCGTTTATTCTCATCCTTGACTTCATTATCTGCTGTTGAAGAATCAAAGCAAACACTACATCAAAGTGATATATGGTTCTTACTGTTCTGGCTTCTCTCTGAAGAGAGTCCTTGTTTGTCAAGGACCAAGAAAATAAGCACACACACACACACACACACACACACACACACACACACACACACACGCAAGCGCACACGCGCGCCAACTTGAACCCCACTTTTCCCAGGAGATGACTCAGATTTTACACTTTCTCCCCAAGGCCAAAATGTGACTGACTTACAGCAAAATAACACACAAACCTCAGAAGATTAAATTATTGACAGACTCATTTGTTTTGGGGTTTGCTTAACTGTTTCCATGAAAGAAATGTTTTTGTTTTTTTCTAATTAATGTTTTGTGTGTGTATGTGTGTGAGAGATAGAATTTTGCCTGGGTGCTGGGAATTGAGCCCGAGTCCTCTGCCAAACTTGAGCTGAGGGATGCATGTAGGCCTGCAGTCCCAGAGCTAAGGAGGCAAAGACAGAAGGACCATGAATTTGAAGCCAACTTGGACTACAGAGCAGAACTACACAGACACACACAGATAAACTTGGGGCTGAGGTTGGATGGCTCAGAGATAGAGTGCTTGTTTTCCACGTTCAGACTCCAGGGCTCATGCCCAGCACCACAAAGCAAACAGAGAACCCACACAAGACCACCTTACTCCACCACAGTTTTCTGTCTCTCTTTAGGTGACGAGTAATGCTGAGATTTTCCACACCTCTTCTGGCCCTTCTCCAGCCACACAAATGTTCTTTCATGTCCCCAAATTCCAGGTACCCTCATCCTGAAGCCTTCACACTTCACACTTGCCATTTCCTCTGCTTGAAGCCACTCTTTTCTCTTGTCACCTGCTCCAGTCTTAATTACTATTTTTTAAACCATGGAGGCCTGGTTAGCCTTGTTCACTTAAGTTCACTTCCCAGTATTTACATTAAGCATCACACATCCCAGCTGTGGCCATAACAACCAATTACTTAGTCATCATAGTTCCCTCTCAATGTTCATTCACTCACTCACTCAACAGATACTCACTGGGAGCCCTCTATGTGTGAAGCTCTACAATGGTGGACAACACCACATGTTCCAACCCTCAGGGACTTAGCAATGAACAAGTAAACAAAACATACATGTGTGCACACACATAACCATATGTAAATGGTTGCCCGTGGCAAAATTCCACAAAGAAAATTACACAGTGCCATAAGAGAACAATGGAGATTTAGTTAAACTAGGCAAGAAGTCCTTTCTCAAGGTATGACGTTTTTACGATGAGACCTAAAAGATGGAGCTTTCCTGAAAGAATATTCCAGACAAAGTAGCTATTTGGAATTCCAGAAAAGAAAATCTGGATCCGGGTGACAGTGGCACATGCCTTCAATCCCTGTACTCAGAAGGCAAAGGCAGGTAGATCTCTGAATTTAAGACCAGCCTGGTCTACAAGTGAGGTCCAGGACAGCAGGACTACACAGAGAAACCCTGTCTCAAAAAACCAAAAGAAGGGTTGGAAAAATGCTCTTCTAGAGGATCCAGGTTCAATTCCCAACACCCACATGGCAGCTCACAACTGTCTGTAACTCCAGCTCCAGGGGAACCGACACCCATGGCAAAACACCAATAAACATAAAATAAAAGTAAATTATTAAAATAAAAGAAAGAGAGAGACTGAGGAGTGGGGAGCAGGACCAGCAGCAGCAGAAGCCACTGAAGCAGCCCAAAGTCTGGAAGGTGAGGGTGCTCAGAAGCCAGACCAGGAGAAGTTTTCATGCCCTAGTAAGGATTCAGACTTTATTCCTTCCATCTCTTTGTCTTGTCTTTTGACTTGCTATATAGCCTAGGATGGCCTCATACTCAGTATATAACCCAGGCTAGCCTTAACCTTTTAGACTTTTAAAAATGTGTATGTTGTGAGTTCGAGGCCAGCTTGGTCTACAAAGTAAAGTGAGTTCCAGGACAGGCTCCAAAGCTAAAGAGAAACCCTGACTTGAAAATCCAAAAGGAAAAAAAAAATGTGTATGTCTGTGTGGTGTACAGGCATATGTATTTGCAGATGTGTGGGCATGTACATGTGAGAGTGCATGACCACTTGTGCCCAGGTGTGTAGAAGCAAGAGGTTGGTGGTGTTGATAGGCTCTCCAGCAACTCTCTGCCTTATTCCCTGAGGCAGAGTCTCTCAATGGAACCCACAGCTCATTGATAAGGCTAGTTTACCTACCCAGTTTGCCCTAAGGGTCCCATGTCTCCTCTTTCTAAATTCTGGAATTACAGGCAGGTAAACACAACCACCCAGTAATTAAGTGGGTCTGGGAATCCAAATTCTAGCCCTCACATTTGCTGAGCCAACAAGTCCAAGCCTATTGCCCTCAGACTATTGACCCCCTGACTCAGCCATAAGTGTCCTGGGATTACAGGTGAGTTCCAGAAAGTCGGATTGTATTTTGAGTACCGTGGTTCATTTTGAATAAAGTTGGGCCCATCCATTGTTTGGGCAAAAAGTCTAAATCAAATCAACAACAGACACCAAAAATAGAA